TTTGCTAAAACATCTTCCAAAAGTATGATAAAACAGTTAGTAGAATCGGTCTTATAATTTAGATTTTTTTCTTATTGAATTTTTAAAAATATTGATAAAGTAACTCAGTTTATGCATATTTCTATCATTTTTTTGGTAATATTGAAAATTCTAAGACTTGTTACGGATCAGCTTACAAAAGTTTTTTTTTCTGTTTCTCTGCTTCTGGAGCCATTCTGGTCTTAGACGACCATTCTGCTTATTGTTCCGCCTCCACTTTTATTGCCTATACACCAATTTTATATTCAATCAGAAGTTTCATTTAAATTGTTTATTTACGCTTGCAGTTTTTTTCCAGGGTAACAACTTGTTTGATAGAATCACTTGGTACCTTGGTTCATAATGAATTCAAGTTTCTAAGCGTCTTTGGCACACTTAGTCTGGAGGCAACTATACGCCACGAACAGCAAAAGTACTGGGTTCGAATCTGGGCAGGGCTTTTTTTTCAAACGGGATATATTCCGTTTCAAAAAATATCGGATTATTATTTTTCTGTTTATGTTTTGTCGGCTTAGTCGCCACATCTTAAATTTTTGTATGCTGATTGCAGTTTAATTTTGGTTGCTTTTTATGTTTTCATTTGATTCTGCAATTCGTAATTCTACTAAACTTTACTCCGTGTATTTTCCTTTTTTACTTAATCGTTTTTTTTTGCTGCTCGCGAATCGTTTTTTTTTGCTGCCCGCGTGTTTTTCTTTTAGGTTTCTAATAGTGTTTGATATACTCCTACATATTGTAATTTTACTTATCTTGATTTCGTATTTCCTTCTTTGTTTTTTGTTTCGCTAAAAAATTTCGTCGGCCCAAAATATTTCGGCCTAATTTTTATGGGCTTAATGACCCAATTTCAGGTCGTTTCAAGGGAAACACAATTTTAACACTCCCTTCCGCTCTTCTCATGTTGGTTGTTTGTTTAACAATCGGTTTGTTGAAATTTCTTTTTTTTGTTACGGAAATTCATTCCGAATAATTTTCTGATTTTCAAAAAATTGGTATCAATAGAAAAACCGCTTACTTTTTTTGTGCCTGCATACTCCCTTATAGTCCTTTTTCACTTAACCCCTCTGTCTACAGCCTTCGAAAAAGTCTTTGCGCGAATATTTTGACCCCTATTTTGATTTTTTTCCGGTTTCTCGAAAATTACCATTCTCAAATCTGAGTTTTTGGTTTCATTGAAAAGAATTTTCACACTATAATTTTACATTTAAATTCATGGCCCTCAAAAGAGTCAAGTTTTTGATTTTTGACCAATTTGTGAATCCTTTTGACTTTTCTCGAAAACTAGCGTCTCGAGTCTGATATTTTGGGTTCAATGGAGATAATGAGTAGCAGGATAAAAAAAAATAATGAGTAGCAGGATAAAATAATATCGCCCTCGGAAAACTCAAACTTTTGATTTTTGGCCGTTTTATAACTTTTTACCCTTAAGATTAGCAAGGGTATTGCAACCGGATGCCAGATTTTTTCCCGTAAACAACTGTCGACGGAATTCGCACGTGTTTTTGTAAATGTAAATGCAGTATGTTCATCCTAGGTTAGGTATGAGCCTTGTATGATTGTTATGAGTTCCTTTATGAGTTATATTAGTATTTTTTGTGCTAGAAATTTTCGGTATTTTTTCGGCTTTAATTCCGTCAGCTCATTTTCCGAAAATTTTTTTTTTCAATTACTCTTTGTTGGTTTTTATCAGAATGGTTGAAGTCTCAGAAATTATTTTGAACAATTCCCAATTATTTTCCCAGACCGTTCATAATAAAAGTTAAAAGTTAAGAAATGAAAAAAAGGTTCGAATTTTTTTTGAAATTTTTTCAATCAATTTTTTTGTTTTTGTTTTCAGTTTGCAAAATAACTTTATTTATAACGTTTCATGTTTTTGTTTGTTCAATCAGCTGTTTTTATTGTTTTTTTCCCGTGTAGATAATAGTGTTTATGTGTACGCAGTTTTTGTTATTTTTCACTCAAATTTTCCTACAACAATTGAAAATATGTTCTCGGAGTTTTTAGCCCAATTTGTTTTGAAAAGTAGCTGTTTCATTTAAAAACTGAGAAGCAAGCAATTCTGAATTGCAAGCAAATCAGAAATAATTAAATTCAAAACTTTTGATTACTTAAATTAAAATTGCTAAACGAGTTCGTCGTTTTGCAAAGTAATTTTGAGTTAATGTCTGTCAATTTTTTGTTCCTCCGGTTTTGCGTAGTTTCGTTCTCAGGATGAAAAAACGGAAAACAAGCATGCTTGAAGTGCTATCAAATCAAAAAATTTTCAATGTCAAATTTTTTGATAATTTTGTTGAGTATTGCTAGCGTTACTTATCATTTTTCCTCTTTCTTTGTTCGTCAATTAATAAATTGTATTATTTTTTTCTCACGTGTAGTTAATTTTGATCTGTTTTGGGTCAATTTTTTTCAAAATTACTTCAATGGCTTATGTTTTTTTGAATATTTGGTTATTTTTTCGTTTGATTTTTTGGTAACCGTTTTTCAGTCAACTTCTTGGTCTTCTCTGATCGGATTTTTTTTTGGAAATGAAAATCGGCGTTTTTTGGCTTAATAGCGGTTCAAAAGCATTCATGAACAGTGTCTAGTTCTAATTTCCTTTTTGTTTCATTCGTTTTTTCTGATCTCTTTGTTGTTGATTTCATAAAAAATAAGTTTTTAGTTTTTGAATTGTTTTGGAATTGATTTTCGAAAGTTTTGCGAAATTTCTTATTGTCAGTAGTTTTGTTTTTTAGAACCGTTCTTAAATTTGTCAGACTTGTTGTGTTTCTTATCTAATTTGTCTAGGTTTTTGAAAAATTGAATAATGTTGTTCGGTATTTATGTCTTTCATTTACAAATGTTAAAAGTAAATCAGAGCTAATGGTTTTTGGTTCTATTACCACTGGAGTTTACCAATGCAGTTTACCTATAAGTTAATTGCGTGTTTTCGGGATACTTCGATGCATAACAGGCCGATTTGAAAAGTATGTCGGAGATAGGCTGATTTTGTTGCTGATATAATCTTAAAAAATATTTGCAACATTTTTGTTATGTGATTTTTTATTTATAATTTTTGCATCGGAAATGGTGCGAAGCTCTGCTTCGCCTCTGTGTCGATTATTCTTGAAAACTACCTAATTATCTTAGATTTTGGGTTCAATCGAAATTACAGGTTGCGTGACTTTTTTTTCACACAAAAAGCTATATTTCTCGGAAGTGGCCAAATTTTTGATTTGTTGACCTTTGGACTTTTCTCGCTAAGTATGCTGCCAAATCCGATATCATAGGTTTAATCGAAACAACAGGTTGCTTAAAGCCAGCCTTTATAATTGGCTATTACCAGTTTTTTTTTAAAAAGTTATGGCCTTCAAAGAAGTCAATGTTCTGAAACTTTGACAGTTTTTTGGAAACTTCTTGACTTTACGCGAAAAGTAACGTGGGGTTTCTCAGGTTGTGTTCAATCGAGAAACTCAGTTTTGAGATTCTTCTCTGCTTAAGCGGTCACAGCCAGCTTTTTGCTTAAAAATTCATGTTTTTTGAAAAGTCCTTTGACCGTTTTTTAGAATGTTTGACCGTTTTTTAGAAATTTTTTGAATTTCCTTCAAATTTACAGCATTAAATCTGAGACGAAAAGTTCAATTGAAAGAATAGGTTGCGATAATTGATCCTGCAGAAGCGGCGACCCCTTAATTTTTTTGTGAGAGAAATGACATCTTTTTGAGAAAATTGATTGTCACAAAAATTTTTTTACTCTTCTCACTTAGACAAAGTCCAACTTTAGACAAAGTCCAATTTTTGAAATCACATTTTTGGTGCCGCATCGGTATAGCAAATTTATTTAACATCAAACACGTATCTCCAGCTTTAGCTGGGCCCCTAGTTGTTTCTTATCGAGATATACGAAAACTTTGGTTCACCTAGCTTTTTCAACATTTAATTTTTTCTTCTTATGTTTCTTCTGTTTGTGTTGTATTGCTAGTAGTGCGAAGCTCCGCTTCGCCTCTGTGTCTATTACTGCCGTGTTTTCAACAAAATTTTTACTCTGGGGTGGATCTAGTAACTAATCAAATTAGTAAAAATAGGGGAGGACCCTTTGGGTCGGCAGGGGGTCGAATCCCTGAGGGAGGGGCGTCCCTAAATCCGCTGGTGCTTTAACTACTACTACTACTGCTACTACTACAACTTCTACTGTCAATGTCAAAAAGTAGTGCAGATGTGGTTGTTATTGGTGTATTTTAGGCAAATCAAAAGGAGTCATTTTATTCACTACATGTTCTAGAATTGCAGTAGATGTTCTCTGGTGCAGTGGTTAATGCATGTCACTCCTTCCCCTTTTCAAGAGGTCGGGGGGGGGGGGGTTTGATTGTGGGTAGTGCAAAAGTTTAAATGTTCAAAAGAATCTTGAAATCAACAGTTAAATTTTCCCAGCTATTCGGGGGTGGCAAGATCGAGAAGTGTACATCATTAAAACCTATCTGGCTCATTTATTTTCCAAGCAATTAATTTGTTATGAATATCGCTTAGTTTTTTTTTATCACGTAATTTTTTTTGCCGCAGGAGTTCTGTCGATTGAAGCCTAATTAACCATCTGCTGATTTGTGCATTGATTTGAAAAAAAAATAAATGCAGAACATATTTAAACCATATTGGAACCGCAAAAAATGTACCATATTGGCTCTAAGCATATGATTGTTACGAGCTTTTTCGTATATCTGAACTTTTGATGTGACTGTTATTTTGTTTTCTTTAATGGCACCGAACAATGGAGATCATTTTTGTTTTTTCGACTGTGGCGCTGGTACCTTTAACAGTTTGGTAGATGTCTTCGAGTATTTTTGAAAGCTTTCACTTTCATCTAAAAGTTGCTCCGCTAATATCACACTGCGCTTATTTTTCAATTCGTAGCTTCTTGCTGCTACTTGTAAAACAAAAAATAGTTTGGATCTAGAATACCAAATCAGTCTCGCATTAAAAGTGACTCTTTATAACTCAAGTTTCAGCTCTGACAAAAGCACCATAGAATAACGAGCATATGATAAGGAGTGGTGTATGAGTTTTGCTTCGTCTTTTTTTTATTATAAAGTTATATTATTTTTGATAAAATGGTTTATTAATTATAACAAACAAAGCCGCAAACAAATTTCTATCTTGCTTGAAAAGTTAACTGATTGAGTCGCTTTCAACGATTTTTCATATATTTTGACTCCGTTTTCTGTTTCTGTGTCCTTGTCATTGTCATTATATTGTACATAATCGGTTTGTCATTCGAACGAGATTCTTGATGCCTTCGTGGCTCTTCGGTTTCTGATGTCATCTGAAATGACCGAGAGCCGAATCCCTCGACCAATGGAATCCGAGCGACAATCGGGTGGAATCGGAGACTTTGATGGGTCCGAAGAAGATGGTCTGAGCAAGCTGCAGATGTTGAGGAATCAGTTCAGGTCCAAAATTGTGGAAGAGAAAGAGAGGAAACTGAATTTGTTGAATAAGAAACAATCTGGATCTGTTAATAAACAGAACAGAAAGGTAATAAGTTCACTACATTTGATGCTAGTTCCTTAATCACAACCAAAAGATTGCTTGTATAATTCAAATTTTTCGAAAATTATAGGCCGTAACAGTAAGTACTGTTGTCTGCAAAAAATGTATAAATGTGAGATTGTTAAAGAATCCATGTCTGATAACTATGTTTTCACGGCCTGCTTCTTTCGATTTTTACCCTTTCTCTTTCATAGTTCCGTAAAAGCGAGAATCCTAGAGATAATTTAATAATAAAAATAAATTGTTTCCATTTCAAAGATTATTCAATATACAATTGTCAATTTACGTACATCTGACATGGAAGGACATCAAAAGACCAGATAGGCCTAGTCAAGTGATGCCTTGATTAAACAATACAAGTTCAAACACCCTAGGTGCTAAGAAGTTTCAACTAAAATGTAGTATTAGTTGTCCAAACCTTACTCAATTTTTAGAAAAACAATCTATCTTTTCTTTATTATTCGTGATGTTTAAATCGCGAAAATTATGTTAAAATTGTTTTAGATTGACTGTCCTTAAGATTACTGACTGTTTCAGCAAAATCTGCAAAAAAAATTATAAGTTTTTATGATTTGTCAATCCGTACGCCTACTCTTTTAGGACTTTTGCCTGTGAAATTATTCGTTGGTTTGATTTTTAAAACCCTTTTGTGTTGCAATCTCTCAATATCTGAGTCCAAAAATAAGATTTTTAAGCATTCATATTTCAAGTTTTTATGTAAAAGCTTGGCTAACGTTTTGAATAGCTCGTATCTCTGCAATTCTTTCGCTGAGGTTATCTTGTAGGTTTCCTTAAATTATGTTACTGACTGATATCTTCGTTTTTGGGAAAGAAGTAGTGAGGCTACCTAATCCTTCTCTCTACTGGAGTTGCCTAGCAGAATTTATTTTCGAAACCTTTTTTTACTCCATTTTGATTAAAATCTTATTATTCAGTTAAAATGAGTACTGTAAATGGCACTGAAACTTCTTGTGCTGACTAGTTTTCGCACGCATCTCAAAATCTTTTTGATCTATAAATTTTTTATCATTTAATTTTGCTTGCAATCATGACCGTCCCATCAATTTCATTACACTGCCCGACAAATTCAATTCAAATCAATATATAATTTTTGAAATGCCTCAATGTAATTTTAGGTAACTATAAACGGGGTTGTCGAGGAGTTCTCGCCAGACAGCAACAAACAAGACCGACATTTGTACGGAGAAAACAATGTATACAAAGAGAGCAACGTCAAGTCACCGCAACTGGGACAGAGAATGCAGACGGATTTGGCCAAGTTCGGAGGGGGTAATCCATCCCAAAAAGAACTGGAAGTTCGGAGACGCCAGGCTATACTGGACAGTTTGCACAAAAATAGGGAGAAAAAGAAGGTTGAAAACATACCGTATAAGGCAAAAGGGTCAGTGAAAATGAGTTACAAAGGTCACTTGCCGCCAATTCCAGGAAGTGTTAAAAAGTCTAACTCAAAAACCGAACACGACTTGATGACGTCACGCGAGTCGACGAAACGAAACAGCAATCTTGGTGAGGAAGAAGTGGATTCGGAAAACAATTTGAATAGCACTGTTAGTAATAATCCCTTCGCTAGCAAACCAGCTATTATAAAACGAAAAGCGCTTCCAGGTGTCAACAAACAATCACTACAGGTTCCAGGGGGTGTAACTTCTGAGGATTCAGAAATAACGAGCGATTACAATACATCAGATAAAGAAAACACCCAGCAGCAGCTTCAGATGTCCCACAGAAATAATGAAAATCAAATACAACCGATTGCTGAAAGTGAAAACAATGCTCTAGACCGACAGCCATTGCGAGAAAGTCACTCAAGCAATAACGACAGCGCTGGTAATAGAACCCTTGGGTCAACCACCAGGTCAAATGAAGTCGCGCATACTGAAAATGCCCCGAACGAAGTTCTGTCATCAAGAACTGTAAACAAAAACGACTTGACCAGTCAGCGACAACAACTGGCTAGTGGAAATAGCCAACGTCCAAGATCGGTCACTGCGAAAGATGTTCTGGAAATAAGTTCCCAAAAAAGATATTCACAAGATTCATCAGTGCCTAGTAATTACGACCCTCAAGATCCACTGCTTGACAGTGGCTCCTCATCTCATATAAAAGTAGCCCACAATGTTGTTATTTCTGACACTATCACTGACCTTGAAAGCGGATTGCAAATTGAAAGTCAAGAAAAACAAAGACTAGATGCTTTACAGCGATTGAACAAGAAAACTAACGACGAAAGAACTCGTTCAGCTAAACGATTGGCTGAAACGAAGCCCAATAAGAAACCAGTTGATAGTTCAAGCGAGCAGAATCCTGAAGCGACCACTTTGCCGCTTAATGACGAAGACGAATCAACTGCGAGGTTAAGTGACTCTGAGATATCAGGGCAGGCCATGACGCTTCGAGAGAGAAACGACGCTGCCATGTCATCAGTGAGACGCTCAGAAAGTCACAGAAACAGTTTAATCGCTAAAAAGGGTGGAATCAAAAGCGCGTTAGTTCCTAATGACTCTAAAACGCCATCGACGTCATTAAAAATAGGTGCTACTCCCAACCAACCGAATGCCGCGGGCGGCAATGACGACTTAAAAGACACTATCAACGAAATGCGCAAAAGAGAACGAGACTTAATTGAAACTATCAAAAAACAGCAAGAGGAACTGGAGCTAGTGAGAAAACAACGTTTCCGCCAGGAGCGGATTTTCAAATCTTCTCATCACAAAAAATCTGACAAGTTTCGAAGCGAATCCGAAAGCAGCCGAGTGCTTTCAACTGAAGAGGCGAGCCAATCCGAACTGATGAACCAAAACCAGAACAACTATCAACCTGAGCTGTCTCCCAAGAAAAAACCGACCAAGGTCCGACTGCCTCCAAAACGGTCTGTTGATATAAAAGAAGATCCATATTATGCTCAAATAGCCGAAAAATCGACCCCATTGGCGATCGACATGCAAAAATGCCCGCATTGCAGTCGAAGTTTTGCACCTGAGAGGTACAATAAACACGTGGAAATTTGTCAGAATGTGCAGGCGAAGAAAAGGTCGGAGTATGACTCGACCAAGCACAGATTACAGGGAACAGGGGCCGAGATTTTTCAGAACGAGGAGAGCTCCCAAGTTGGTACCGTTTCAGTTCAGTTGCTGTTTTTGATTAACCATTTTGTAACAACGTTGAAAAGTCAAGAAAAGTCCATATTTTCTACTGAATGCCAAAATTATTTATCTTCAGCTGGCTAGAAATTTTTCAAAGTATTTTTTAAAGAAGTTGAGGGTGGTCTGGTATTCAACTGGAGCACCATTGTTCAACTGTTGCAACTTATTCAAATTAATTGCTTTCATCAAGACATTAAATTTAATTTGTTTATTTGCACAGAGTAATAATAACAATTCTCATTGTCACATGAATGATCAGAGAGATATTCAAGCGAAATTAAAAAGTAGACAAGTAGACACTGTCTGCTTTATAACTGATGAAATTTTTTTCATGAACAGTTTTTACTACCATGTTTTTTCGTCTTTTATTTTCAGAACCAGACTTGCAATGGTTACATGTGCGGTTATAGTGTCAACTTGTGTGTCAAATTACGAGTTTCTAGTAGTCTAACGTTTCTATTTTAAACAATCCTGAGTACGATATAATTGTTTAAGCTTAGAATGATCTTAGATAGGCTAAGAATAAGAATGCCTTAATCAAAACAAGACTGCTCGAATCAGGGCAAAGCCCTGAATGTTCCGACTGCCTTAAGTTTTATGGAGCAGTAATAACCTAAAAAAATTAAATGTAATAAAATAAAATAAATTTTTTTTTAATTTAAGATTTTTTTGTAAAAATCACCCCCACACTCGCCGTAAAAAGTAGTGATAGATTTCGCTCCTAAAAACAAATCAGTCATGGCAAATAAGCTGCATTCAACCAATTTGGAACGATTTCTATGACGGATTAAATCTCCGCTTACGCGTTAATAGGGCGAAGTATATCGCGCGTTAATGGTCCCAAAATGGCAATCTATAAACCCCCATAACTTGACGAAAAATGATCACATGTAAAATATCTTTTCAAATTTAAGCTCAGGAAAACAATACCTTTTGAATGATATTTAAAAATTCTGTCACAAATTTGTCGGAAGAAAAAACCACTCGAGCACAAATATTCCGTTACTTTCGTTATGAAAGTCGGAACAAAAACGATTTTTTTAAATAATGATAGGTATGATCCAAATCTATCTCTCGGCTGTGTAATTAATCTGCAATTTAGATTTGAGAAATACTTCAGGTCTATAACACTAACACTGCCCAGAACACTCACGCCTCTTCTTCGTCCAATCAGCCACACACCCAACAAGGCGGAACAAACAACAACAGCAACGCCCATCCTGGCCCCGCCCACCAGATGATAAAGTGTCCAACATGTGGGAAACATTACCCCTTCCACAGTGCAGAAAGACACATGCCAGTGTGCAGAAAGAACAGACAAGAGAGAGGTGACGTCATCGCGAAAGGGGGAGGTGGTGAACAACAGAACAGTTCACATGTTGGAGGAGTTCAAAACAATGTTTATGTCAGTCGAGTGTGATGAAAACTAAAGGAGCTTGTTAACAATTTATTAACAAGACCCAAACTAGTTATTAACAAGGCCCAAATTAAATTCTATAGTTGCTTATTCCAAATACTGTAGAATACTGGTACAGTTGACCTTAAATCAGTCAGAATACGGATGTCAGACGACTTCATCAGCTTTCATTTTTGTACACGCTGAAAAAACAACAGTTTGAGTGCTAATCCAACTGACGAACTGGACCCTAGAGAATAATTTAAAATCGTATCGATTTGTGGAATTCAAACGATAGTGCTAACAATTTGCCCTTAACCAGGGCAAATTTTAAAAAGATTGATGGAACTTATTTTTGTATTTTTTTTTTAGTCTATACTCGCTATTTTAAAGCTTAAAATCGAATACAGACTACTTCTCAACAGCTCAAACCATTATGAATAGTAGTTCCGAATTACGGAGGAAAGGGGGGTTTCCGAAAAGGGAAAGGGGTCTGGTTGTTGAGCCGTTGAAATCTTAGGACTTCTTATAGTCAATGATATATGTTACACTGCCTACATTTGTATACTATCGCGATATTACAGAGTCACAGAAAAGGCAGTTAAATTCAACGTTTTTGAATATTTTGTCAAACGATTCCTATTTGAGGTAATGCTTCTGCTAAAATAATCAATTGCAATTATTTAGACTCATACATATCTTTGTAGAAAAAATTAATTTAATGAACTGCCTTTTACTCAAAATCCAAGCAAAGAGCGAACAAATATCAAGTTAGGACTAATCTCACTCATCATCATCGTCCAACCAAATTCACCCTAATCGTCCAACAAAAATATCCGTCCAGACAGTGGCAAACGAAATTTGGCATGGGCAAACGGAAGGGATTATGTTCAGTCTTCCACCCGCAGATTTCACTTTATATTTATTTCAGTTATGTTTTCGTCCTTAACCAAGAGACTACAAACTTGTTTTAAATACCCATTGATAAACTGTTCTCAAATATATTTAAGCTGGTAAATTTCAGTAGATATACTTTTTCAAAAAATTTATTGGCTTCCAAAATAGGTCCTCTTGTTTCATAACGCAGACTAATTTATCAATTTTTATCAGACTGTTGTCTGAGCTCTGAGATAATTTTACCTATACCCAGGTCTGCGATCATGCATATGAATACGCGCGATCAGGTTCAAAAATTTGGTGGCATGATGTTTACCAGCTGTAACAGTACAACATCATGTGTAAATTTACACAGGTCTCCGTTCATGTATATAACTTTCGCCCGAACATTCACTTTTCTTTCGGATTATGTTCAAATTTTCACGATTATGTTCAAACTTCGTTTGAGACTGTTCAGACTTTATTTGGGACTTAAAACAGCGCGGGAACTATGATTTTTTTGTCGCAAGCTGGATTGATTGACACTGTAAAAATCTGATCATAAGAAAGGTTCTTTACTATTTTTTTTCTCAAACGTTTTCAAATAGAGCCCAGATATGTTTTCAGATTTTTTCTGAAGACAATCACGGACTGAGGTGTTCGACTCATGTTTCGACCGACACGGTCGAACGGAGTCCGATTTTCGTCGCAAATTAAGACGGTCGAACGAACACTACAGTCGAACAAAGTCGAATCATGAGGCACTCAGCACAGTGGTAAGGCGTTCACTTTGAAATCGTCAGATCGTGTATTTGATCCCATGCCATGGCAATGATAGTGTGCGAGGACAAGCTCTCACTTGAACTCCAGCTTCAGGTCTACCACAACCTGACCAAATTTGGCTGCAATAGTGGTACCACGTAAAAGTTCTGGACGCAAAAAAACGGCCTTGAGTTGCAAAAAACAGCTTCGTTCAGCAAAATAACACTGTCTGGAATGTGGGGAGATAATGCAAATGGACTATCCTCGACAGGACTGTTAAGGCCTACTGATAGCTCCTCTGCGATTCGCAGGAACTACAATTAACAGGGTCGAATCATGAGTCGAACACGGTCGAATCATGGGTCGAATCATGAGTCGAGCAGGGTCGTATCATGAGTCGAACAGGGTCGAATCATGAGTCGAACAGGGTCGAATCATGAGTCGAACAGGGTCAAATCATGATTCGAACAGGGTCAAATTATGAGTCAAACAGGGTCAATAGAGAAGAACAGGGTCGAATCATGAGTCGAACAAGGTCGAATCATGAGTCGAACAGGGTCGAATCATGAGTCAAACAGGGTCGAATCATGAGCCGAACCGGGTCGAATGATGAGACGAACAGGGTCGAATCATGAGTCGAACAGGGTCGAATCATGAGTCGAATAGGTTCGAATCATGAGTCGAACAGGGTCGAAACATGAGTCGAACAGGGTCGAATCATGAGTCGAACAGGGTCAATGGAGACAAACAGGGTCAATTCATGAGTCGAACAGGGTCGAATCATGAACCGAACAGGGTCGAATCATGAGTCGAACAGGGTCAATAGAGTCGAACAGGGTCGAATCATGAGTCGAACAGGATCGAATCATGAGTCGAACAGGGTCGAATCATGAGTCGAACAGGGTCGAATCATGAGTCGAACAGGGTCGAATAATGGGTCGAGCAGGGTCGAATCATGAGTCGAACAGGGTCGAATCATGAGTCGAACAGGGTCGATGGAGACGAATAGGGTCGAATCATGAGTCGAAGGCGGTCGAATCATTAGTCGCAACTTGGATGGTACAGAGTCGCAACATAAAATTGGGTCGCGCAAAGTCGCAACATGGGTCGCGCAAAGCTTAAGTAATAGAACTGTAGTCAGGTTTTTTGCTTGCATAAGCGTTATACAGATGCAAATTGCAAAATCATCCAGTACATATGTAGTTTTAATGTGCAGTTAGCTAGATCAACATATTTGCTGATCATATACAGGACCGCTTCGAGAAGGCCTGCACATGGTCCCAACGTAATTTATAAGCAATCTTTTTAGGGTAACAACAATTTCGTTGCCACAAAAACTGAAAGCTATAAACCTAGGAATTTTAGGAATTTTTTTATTGTCAGTTGCGTCGAACACAGTTGAGAATAATTTCTCTCGGTTGAGACGTTCGAAACACCGCTATTTTCTTCGAGTCGTTCAAAATATAATAGGTTGCGCTTGATCAAATTTTCATTCGGCTGAGTTCGTTCAAATCTAACTGGTTGCGTCAAAGAAACCAGTTTGATTCGAGTCGGTCACAACATAACTAGCTTACAACGAACACAGTCGAAGCCACTTTTTCTTTATTCAAGTCGGTCAAAACATAGCCAAATTGGATCGAACCGGTCGAAACATAGCCATTTTCGGTCTATTTGATTGGAACGTAAGCCCAACAACTCAACAACCCGGGCTACACGAATCTACGATGCTCAATTTTGTGGCTTTTTCTATTATATTTTGCGGCTGCCCAGGACGAGCTTTTTGACAGATGATTCGACAAAAACAGTCAAATGATTTCCGAGTTTGTTTGTAGTTCAGGACCCTTCGCTTCTTCCCGATAAAGTCAAAAAAAGTCGAACATCGTCCGGTAAAGTCGAACAATGTCCGGTATAGTCGAACAAAGTCAAGCAATGCCCGGTAAAGTCGAACCAAGTCGAAAACGGACATCGTTCGACTCAAAAAGTCGAAATCGGACATCGTTCGACTGGAAAAGTCGAAAACGGACATCGTTTGACCATTTCGGGGCACATCGTTTGTCCGGCCCGGGATGTGCACAGAAAAATTTCTGGACAGTTTGCTAAGTAAAACAAAAATTGAAAAAATTCTTCAACTTAAAACAGAATCCAAAACAATCTGTGTCGAGAAAAATAGGTCTGATGTGTTTCAGATCAAATGACTTAAAATTCACGTGCCCATTTATTGCTTCCTTGGCACTAGACATTTCAGAAAAATTCGAAAAAAGTCTGTAAACTATTTAGACGCTTACAGTTTTAGCTATTATTAACAAAATGGAATCTAGACTTTTTTCAGGCGAATAACCTAGTCAGGAATCTCACTTGAATCACTTGATAGCCTAATTATAATAAGGTCCAAATTCCTAGCTTTCCCGCCTACATATTTTAGAAGTAACGACAATATCTGGGATGGCAAATGTCCTAGGTTTCAATAAGAGTTAGTTGCCAAGATTAATTTCGGGTGCTGTAAGCAGCTTTTTTATTGTAGTTACATTTTTTTAAAATTTATTTCTGTAGTTTGTAAGCTCACAGACACGGTTTTTTTCCTTTTTTATTAAGTTGTTGCTAAAAAACTTTACACTGCCTCTATCGCTTCGGTTTGAGTTTTATTGTTTTTTTTCGACCTAGTTTTGCGTCGTTTGTAGGCACCCATTTTCAAATTTCAAAAGGAAAGGACAAAAAAATTTTCATTTCGAAGGTTGTTTATTTCGAAAAAAAAACTGCAAAAATTATAATTTTTTGAAAAATTTTTTCGACTTTTTAAGTATTTTTTTTCGACTTTTTTCACAACTGTAGTCGGTCATGATCAAGTTACTTATGATTTGAGCTTTTGTCGTCCTTAATCTTATCAATCTATTCTCAAAACTGAAAATAACAAGTTTAAAAAACGTAACCAGGGGGCGGATTTAGGGTGGGGGTAGGGGGCACACTTCTCTTCAAGAATTCGACCCCCTGCCGACCCAACGTGGCCCCCTTTCAACTATTTTAAGATAATCATTTTTGGTTGCGCACCTATAATTTTTCTAAGCCACTGACGCGCGCCGAATAAAGGCAATTTTTCGGTAAAATTTTTCCAAAAAAGGCCTGTTTTTTTTTCTGCCTGCGCCGCAGAAACTTTGGCCAAACAGGTACTTTTTAGTTCTTATGGAGGGCTCGGAAAATTAATTTGGTCGACTAAACAAAAAGTCGACAAAATTTCGAAGTTTTTGAAAATCCCTCGACCCTATGTATACCCCACATTTATACCTGAACCCCACATACAACACGCCTGCAGCTATATGACATGATTCGTCAAAGTTGAATTTTTATTGTCTTCAAAATATTTTCCAACCGTTAATTACGTATAATTAAGACCATTTTTTTATCCACGGGGGAAAGTACCAACACAAGAGCTGTACAGCTCATCACGGCGAACCGCTGTTGTGCCCCTGTTTAAGAGATAAGATGAAAAAAAAATCAATAATATGGGGTTATAATTAAAGACAATTTTGCATTGTCTTTTTTTTTCAAAATTTGTCTTAGTACTTTGGGTTTGTTGCTCTGCAGTTAAGGTCTCTAAAGGGAAATGAATCCCTCCGACATTCTTTGAGATTCTGTCACTCAGAAAAGAAAATTTTCTTACTAGTTTATTTACAACATCCGTTTTTAGCTGACCAATTTATTTTGTCCAAAAGCCTCCACAGGTGTTACGGAGACCCTGGGCACCTGTCACAGTTAGTATAGACAGTACATGTAAAGTGGAAAAGCTCAGGAATTGAAAAATTTGGTTACAGGGACCTACGACTAGCAATTTTTGGCAAAATTGATATTTCTTGTGTTTTTCCGCAAACTGTATGATCAACGTCATAGTCACAAATTGACTTCGTGAAATTATGCGATAGCGAGGAGCCAACGGTGGTATGGAATCTCACATAGGTACAAAATTTTATATACGACGTCATATATAAAATTTTCTACCTACTTGAGATTCCAACGAGTTTACTGAAAGTTCAACTATTTTTATTAAGTTTGATTGTTTTGATGACTAGATAATTTGTTAATTTATACCTGAACCGCACATACAACACGCCTGCAGCTATATGACATGATTCGTCAAAGTTGAATTTTTATTGTCTCCAAAATATTTTCCAACCGTTAATTACGTATAATAAAGACCATTTTTTATCCACGAGGGAAAGGACCAACACAAGAGCTGTACAGCTCATCACAGCTCATCACGGCGAACCGCTGTTGTGCCCCTGTTTAAGAGATAAGATGAAAAAAAAATCAATTTTCTTGGTTCGGAATTTGCTATTCAAAATGCATACAATATAGCCACTATCTAAAAAATTTCTAGATGAATGAAATTAAAAAAAAAACGAACGTTTTCCAAAATTGATTTTTATTTGTTATCGCAAAATAAAAACACATTCAAAATATCTACGGCGGTTTTTTGAATATTGGGAAAAGTTACTGTCTTAGAACTTTTTGTTATAAAAAACTGTAAGATAGCGGAAATTTGCTACAAATCTTGACAGAAGTTCTAAGATAGGGGAACTTTTTGTAGGATGGTCAAATCGAGACGCTATAAGGTGACCATATTGTGGAAGTCATATTGTGAAAGTAAGTTTTTAAAGGCGTTTTGTAGTATCAAGCGTGAAACTTCGATGTTGCCATAACGATTTTGCATTTTACCATTTCTTGCACAGTTTTGAAACATTGACTATTCTCAGCACACTTCTTGTAGTAAAAGTATTTTGTAAGCTTGAAAGTTTTTCAGGAAGAATGTTATTTGATCTTAAACCATGATTTATACATAGAAAATGACAGTTTTCAAGATGATTTGTGCGTGATGATAAGTTTGTTTTGGTTTCAGTCTTCAACAGCGAATGGAGTCGATAATTTGTGAGTATTCTAAAAAGGAATCAAATAAGAGTTGAGATTATCAAGTTCAAGATTACTAGATTACTGGAGCATGAAAAAATTAAGTTTACTTACTTTATCGTACTGAGAAGAAATGGATCTTTCATTCTGTAAAAAAAAAAAGAATTTCCTATCAAATGACTCACCTTCTAACAAATGACCAACAATTATTTGTTCGTTCAATGCTTCTGTTGGAATACTTTATTAACACAACTTTTTTTGCATGTGATAAAATTTGAGCTATGAGAGAGCTTGTAGTTGAATTTTAAACGTTTTTACTTACCTTGATGAATTCACATTTTAGAGTTTGATTTTGATAGTTGAATAATCAATTAAAATTTTCTTAAATCAATTTTGAGTAGTTTTCTATTTGTATTTATAATTAAATAATTTTGATCATTTTACCTTTTCGAGTTTTTATTAGACTTTTGGTTCATAATTTTTGTTGTCGCTAATATTAAGACACTGAGAAACCCCCCCCCCCCCCCCACCCTGATGTAAATGCCATGTATACCTGTGCTGGCTGTCCCATAGGGGAACCCATTTTGAGCCTCCTTGTGCTCCTCGATCTATCTCGCCTTTTCTCCATCAAATCCACCGTCGTCTCAGTGTGCCCCTGAAGTGCATTTTACATACCATAATATCTGAAATTGCCCGGATAGATCTTGCAGTGAAAGTTAACACTGTTGCTGTAATGTTACAGAGTGGTAGCGTGGCATGTCACGAAGTCGAATACCCGGATAGCCGAAAAATAAAATCGTTCCCGGATAGCCGAAAATAAATTTGTTCCCGGATAGCCGAAAACTTTTTTGTTCTCGGATAGCCGAATTCTTTTTTGTTCCAAATACAAAAAAATTGATCCGACTTACACCAAAAATTAATCACTTAAAATATTAAAATATTATAAACAGCCTTTTCTCATTAAAAAACCCCCATCCCAAGTAATTTACAGACCCTCAGAATAGAAAAATTTTATGATGGGGTAAAAAAATGCCGTAAAAATTTGAAAAAATCAAGCTTTTTTGGGATTGGTTAAATTTAAGCTATCCCAAAACGCTTTAAAGGTCTTACTTTTGACGAAACTTTTCGACGGAGGCACGTATTCAAAAAAAAATGTTGGCAAAAAATTGAGGTTTTGAACACATTTTTTGGCGCCTGCTCCCTGAGTTCATCCCAATACACTTATTTATTTTTGCTCATATTTGTTAAGCTACTCAAAAAATTTTGTTCCCTAATCATCAAAAATTGTTGTTTGCCGGTGTCATGAGGCGACCTTTGATACCTCGTATATGTATTGGTAATTACATATCTTTTGCAGTATCTTGCAAAGTGACAGACTTCAAGGCCACTTAGTACCAATCTAAAACATCGATAACACAACAGAGAACCTAATACGCACTCTGACATAATGAACAAGAAAAAGGTGTAAGCAATACGATTCTTATGTATTTAAAACTGTTTTCCCTCAGTGTTTAATTGATAAATTGATACAGCGTATCTGATTCAACTTACTTCTACAATCGATCTATTATTTACTAACGAATTTACCTTATCCTTTTAACTTTCTAGTTTTTGAGTAAACATTTTTCGAGTAATGTCAAGTAGAACCGTATCGCTTACACCTTTTTCTAGTTCAGCATGGCTGAGTCAGAGTGCGTATTAGTTTCTCTGTTATGTTATCGACGTTTTAGATCGGTACTAAGTGGCCTTGAAGTCTGCCACTTTGCAAGATTCTGCAAACGATATGTAATTACCGATGAGTAATAAATGCTTTGAGTCTATTAGATTTTTTGTTAGCTAAGTTCCAGAAAATAACCAGGTAGCGTAATCGTTTGAATAAAAGTGGTCAAATTTTCAAATTTTAGCGCTGCATGCAAATTTTTTTATGCTGATTGGCCGAAAATTCCCATTTAGAACCAGGTTAGCATCCCACTCTCCAACTGCTTTTGTGGGAAAAGCAGGATGCGTTAACGTAGTCCGAAAGGCAGAACAATAAAAAAAGTCCAAATTTTGTGGCAAATTTGTCTTTTTTCTCCATTTTCCTCCCCTCAGCTCACGCGAGCAACAATTTTAAGGTGTAATGAGTGGTTTGACAAGGCTCATTATAAAGATAAAATATGTTTGTTACAGCCTAATTAGTCCGTATTTCAATTTTCATAAAGAACCAGACAATGTGAACAAGTTTTTCATGTGGGGAAAAGGAGAAGTGCCGAAGTCTTTCAGTTTTTTTCGGCTATCCGGGAATGCGGCTCTGTGGGCAAGACCCAGTGGTAGTACCGCAATGTTTCAGCACTGCGACAGCGTCACTTTATTCTAGGGACATTTACTCTAATTATCTATGATGAAGAGTTTTGATTGACAGAAATTCATGAAGAGTTTTGATTCACAGAAATTCATGAAGAGTTTTGATTGACAGAAATTCATGAAGAGTTTTGATTGACAGAAATTCATTTACAGTTTTGATTGACAGAATTTCAAGAAGATATTTGATTGGAAGAAATTCATGCTTCTCATCTATTTGATTCTTCTACCTAGGATGTTTTGATGGAAATCATAAGGGCCACAACAACAAAAACAACTGTAACCAATGATCGATACACAATTATAGACCTGAGATTCGAGTTGGGCAAAAAACTGAGTTATCGTCAAATTCAGATATCCAAATCTTTAATAAAAGGCGGCTTATATTTATGTACTTTTTGCAGCTTTGGCGTTTTGTTAATTGACAATGTTCCAACAACATTTTTCAAACCATTTGATTCTAATAATATAACTATTCCAAATGTGTCATTTTTCCGCCATAGTACAAAATCGTAAGCCACTTTGCCTCAACTACTATTTGAAAGTATTATGAGGATAAAATTTAAAGAGGATAATGAAACCGGATGATTAAGGGGATTTATGAGTTACAGGAAAATTTGGTTTCTGATGATATCGGTTTTCTTGCTCCGATGAAAATTTAGCAGTTCAGATATTAAAAATGATCATCTGAGGTACCAAGTTCAAGTTGACTACTTACGTTGGCAGAAACTGGTATTTGATCAGTCTAAATAGGTTTGAATTTTAAAAATCAAATCAGTAATAACTTGAAAAAAAACTTTAATAGGAGATATTTGAAACATAAAACAATCCATTGAAAGTTTTGAAAAATGGGGGGGGGGGGGTGGAGAGGGGCTTTGACAACAAGGCTGGCTTTCGGTTTTGTTCAATCATGAACAGGCTTGACATGTTACATCACTCTACTGTCTTACTTGATTGAACTGCTTGTAGTGATTTTGTATCTGTGTGTCGTGCTCTTCTAGTTGTCTCCTTAGATTCTCGTGATAGTCCTTGGCGGAGGTGTCACTTGGGTATCGGATATCCATCTTCTAAAATATGCAGTTTGTCGTTCTGAATTTTGAAAACTTTTTTTTCCGACAGAGAAATCTGAAAACGGACCAGAAGGTCCCATAGCTACCTCTCAGGCTAAAGTTCAATAACTGTAAATGCGGTTTTGAGGCAATAATTATTAGGTGTGTTAGCTTGAAAACAGTTTATTATAATTATTATTTAAATCTATTTCAACGCGGCCGTATTTTACAAAATATAGGTAACAAAAATGATTTCAGTAGGTGTGTCAAAAATTTTATGATTCTGCATTTCCACATGATTGCAATGGTATCAAATATGCAGAGAAACAGCCTTTGACTGCATTTCACAAGCGTAAAATTTCAGCAAAAATACTTAGTTTTGAAGGCTAAATCGAATATTACATTTACCGTATATGAGAACCACAGACGCATATAAACTAAGTATTTTATTTTTCGACATGCCATTAAAATATCTTCCATTCAAATCATTTTTCTCTTAAAGGTTTCATTTTAAATTTGCGCTTACCACACGTGTGACATCTGAAGTGTTTCTTGACCTTGACCTGTTCCTGGAATCGTCTAGCTTTCTGATCTTGTCCACCAGATCTTCCGAGGGTACTTTGTCTTCCTCCGACCGTTCCGACTTGCGTCTGCTACTGTTGTCCTCTATCATTTTTTTCATGTCCTCGCGATCTTGCTGCTGTTTTTGAACTTTTTGTTTCAAAGCTGCCTCATCGTTTATTTTCTGTTAAATAGAAAGTAAAAATCGTGTTTCCGAAAATTTCTTTAATATTATTTGATCATTTGCTTTATGATTAACAATTTTTTCCCAGGTATTTGAAAATTGATAAAAACGCTCGGAACCCGCAGCATTCGAAACTGTTCGCAACGCAAAGGCTCTAGTTGACCGAGAGAAGATACGGAGCTTCGTACCATTTGCGATACCGCAAAAATGCAGGATAGCAAATTGACCGACAGAAAGTTAGACGGAAACCACGAATTTATTTCTCGGATGGAATTTGTTTTGACTAAAATAGTGTTGAAAACACCATCGCAAATGTCAAATTAGCTTGAGACAAAAATTGATTAAATGTTACCCTACTTAAATACCCAATGAGCCTGAGATATCAGTCGTTCACACGTTACAGTTATGAAAAAAATCGCCGGTTACTGTGCAAGTTGTACCAAATGGTCCAAAACATGGTCTTTAAAAAACTACGAAAAAACTTTTTTTTTAATTGTAGTTCAGTTTTTTCTGCCAAAATAGTAATATAAGTATAATGGACAAAAAATTGGTAGAAAACTGAGTAGAAAAACAAATGAAAACTGTATAAAAAAAATTATTTTTTTTTTCAAATTTTTTTGCAGATAAATTTTGCGCTTTTTTGAAGTTTTTTGTTCCGAGAAAACTAATTTTAGTCGCGTAAAACGAATTTTTCAGGGCTTAAGCTAAGCATAAGAAAGCTGTTGAAAGCCTGCTAGTTCGCGTTTTTGCTTAAAAATGAAATAAAAACAAAAGTTTTGAACCAGTTTTGTCTCGTTACTGGAAAAGTCGTTTAAATCATGACTCGCAGAGCTTCAATTTTGCATATCATTTGACTCATTCCAATGATGTTCGTGATACCTGATTTTGCGTGGAAAAAAAACTAAAACACACCTGAATATAAAGTCCCTCCCCAGTTTTCAATCGGTCGGAACAAAAACTTTCCAAATCAAAGTTTTGAAGTGCAAACGATAACACATGAGGCAGAAAACCAAAAAAAGCAAGGCCAAACCATTCCAGCAAAGCAAAATTTTAAAGCACAGACAGACAAACGGGAGTTTCCGCAAAACCAAAGCTGGTAACGTTATAACAAACAAAAAAAACAAGTCTTAATTTCTTATTTTGAGGATTTTAAATTGCAAATGTGCTCCAAAAATGTCTGCCGGAATTTTTATGTCGGTAAGTGAGAAAATCGTTCGGTGATTTTGCTGAACTGAAAAGAGTGAATCTGTTGTTATTACCAATAGTTAAAAACAAACTGCTCGTATCAGCGATAAATCATGAGTTTTCCGACTGCAATTTTGTTATATGGATTAATTCAAACTAAAATAAATGACAAAAGTTTTTCAAAAAAAAGAAAAAATTCAAAAAACATTTTTGATGTTTTTTGAAAATCATCCCCCCGAACGTTCTGTAAAGAAGAAATTGAAATATTTTGCATATAAAAATTTTTAAATAAGCCAAACAGCATACCATAATTCCATTTGAAATAAATTCTAAGACGGACTAAACCTCCGCTTACTTACGAGTTAATCATACGAAATATATCACGCGTTAATTGTCCCAAGTTGGCTAAAATGGTAATATTTAAACCTTCATAACTTTACGAAACAAATCACAGAAGGAATATCTTTTTAAATTTGAGCTGAAGGCAAAAATAATTTTCAATTGAATTTTAAAAAATTCCCTCAAAACTGCCAGAGATATTTGTCTGCAGAAAAAAAACTACCCCAAGCACAAGCAATCGAAAAAAGTTGGAACAATAATGATTTTTTATCGCAAGCTAAACGCAACCGTAGGGTTGCAGAGAATATAATAAAGCTTAAATGTAAACAATATTGCTCATAGCAGGGCGACGCCCAGAATGTTCCGACTGTTTTAGGGCAATGGAAAAGTGTTCACTTTAAACATGGCACTGTTGACCTGCTATTTTGCGTGCTCCTTTAGCTTTCATCAATAAATGATTGGTTAGGCCAGCGGATAAAAAAAATAAGTACCAATTTTAAGTAACAAAAATAAATATCAAATTGACTTAAAAATCTTGTTATTTTAAAACCTTAGCAATTATCATTCGAATTGCAAGGAATATGGCTCGAAAATTTTTTTAAGTTCGTTAAATGTCTTAAATTTTAAATATTAAATTTCGGTTTAGTCAAAGATATGAGTCAACTCTGTGTTAATTATTAAACAAAAGTATAGGATCAACTCATTTGAAATACTTTAGTCAGCTTCTTTTCATTCAAAAGTTTACCTTTTCGGATGTAGAGACGAGAGGTACCTCAAAGAAGTGATTTTAAAAACAAAAAATGCTTCGATTTGTTTTTGCAAAAAAAATACATTTTACTTTTTATTTTTAAGAGTTTAAGACCATTTTATCCACGGGGGAAAGGACCAACACAAGAGCTGTACAGCTCATCACTGCGAACCGCTGTTGTGCCCCTGTTTAAGAGCTACATGCAATTTTTTTGGTTATTTTTCTGGGCTGGGTTATGTTGCTTCACCCTCAAGCAACGAGTACGGATCATGGTGGTTCTCGAACATCCGACCTTTCGATTGAGATGCGGAGACGTAACCACTTCACCACTGCTCCCCTAACCACTTCACCACCGCTGATGAGTGCACATAAACGGTTATAAACTGTTTTACCGCCTCAAAATTTCTTCTGCTCGCTTTGCTTCGCCTTGATCTAGAAATAGTTTTTGTGAGGGTAGGGTGGTCTACAAAAATGGTAATTTTTTTCCAATAATCAGAAATGACAGGTGTTGGATTGTGTTTTTTTTTGTCTCAATTCCAATCGGTTTATGATTAAGTTGCTTCATGGGGTCAAATCAGCTACCTTTTTCTCCCAAATTGCTTTATTAAATTCAGTTGCATTTTTTGAAAAGTAACATATTTCGAGTGAAAGTCTCTTGGCGTTTTTTGGAGTCAAAAATGAAAATTCAGTGAAGGAACCACTTTTGTGTTCTACAACCTTACAAGTAACAATACAACGGCATTGGAAGCTCTAAGTAGTCCTGTGCGGAAACTATACGTTTTCTTCTCATCCTCCCATAATAATTTTCAATTGAATTTTAAAAAATTCTCTCGAAACTGCCACAGATATTTGTCTGGAGAAAAAAAACTACCCCAAGCACAAGCAATCAAAAAAAGTTGAAACAATATTGATTTTTTAACGCAAGCTAAACGCAACCGTAGGGTTGCAGAGAATATCATGAAGCTTAAATGTAAACAATATTGCTCATAGCAGGGCGACGCCCAGAATGTTCCGACTGCATTAGGGCAATGGAAAAGTGTTCACTTTAAACATGGCACTGTTGACCTGCTATTTTGCGTGCTCCTTTAGCTTTCATCAATAAATGATTGGTTAGGCCAGCGGATAAAAAAATAAGTACCAATTTTAAGTAACAAAAATAAATATCAAATTGACTTAAAAATCTTGTTATTTTAAAACCTTAGCAATTATCATTCGAATTGCAAGGAATATGGCTCGAAAATTTTGTTAAGTTCGTTAAATGTCTTAAATTTTAAATATTAATTTTCGGTTTAGTCAAAGATATGAGTCAACTCTGTGTTAATTATTAAACAAAAGTATAGGATCAACTCATTTGAAATATTTTAGTCAGCTTCTTTTCATTCAAAAGTTTACCTTTTCTGATGTAGAGAAGAGAGGTACCTCAAAGAAGTGATTTTAAAAACAAAAAAAGCTTCGATTTGTTTTTGCAAAAAAAAATACATTTTACTTTTTATTTTTAAGAGTTTAAGACCATTTTATCCACGGGGGAAAGGACCAACACAAGAGCTGTACAGCTCATCACGGCGAACCGCTGTTGTGCCCCTGTTTAAGAGCTACATGCAATTTTTTTGGTTATTTTTCTGGGCTGGGTTATGTTGCTTCACCCTCAAGCAACGAGTACGGATCATGGTGGGCCTCGAACATCCGACCTTTCGATTGAGATGCGGAGACGTAACCACTTCACCACCGCTCCCCTAACCACTTCACCACCGCTGATGAGTGCACATAAACGGTTATAAACTGTTTTACCGCCTCAAAATTTCTTCTGCTCGCTTTGCTTCGCCTTGATCTAGAAATAGTTTTTGTGAGGGTAGGGTGGTCTACAAAAATGGTATTTTTTTTCCAATAATCAGAAATGACAGGTGTTGGATTGTGTTTTTTTTGTCTCAATTCCAATCGGTTTATGATTAAGTTGCTTCATGGGGTCAAATCAGCTACCTTTTTCTCCCAAATTGCTTTATTAAATTCAGCTGCATTTTTTGAAAAGTAACATATTTCGAGTGAAAGTCTCTTGGCGTTTTTTGGAGTCAAAAATGAAAATTCAGTGAAGGAACCACTTTTGTGTTCTACAACCTTACAAGTAACAATACAACGGCATTGGAAGCTCTAAGTAGTCCTGTGCGGAAACTATACGTTTTCTTCTCATCCTCCCATAATAATTTTCAATTGAATTTTAAAAAATTCCCTCAAAACTGCCACAGATATTTGTCTGGAGAAAAAAAACTACCCCAAGCACAAGCAACCGAAAAAAGTTGAAACAATAATGATTTTTTAACGCAAGCTAAACGCAACCGTAGGGTTGCAGAGAATATAATAAAGCTTAAATGTAAACAAAATTGCTCATAACAGGGCGACGCCCAGAATGTTCAGACTGCTTTAGGGCAATGGAAAAGTGTTCACTTTAAGCATGGCACTGTTGACCTGCTATTTTGCGTGCTCCTTTAGCTTTCATCAAAAAATGATTGGTTAGGCCAGCGGATAAAAAAAATAAGTACCAATTTTAAGTAACAAAAACAAATATCAAATTGACTTAAAAATCTTGTTATTTTAGAACCTTAGCAATTATCATTCGAATTGCAAGGAATATGGCTCGAAAATTTTGTTAAGTTCGTTAAATGTCTTAAATTTTAAATATTAATTTTTGGTTTAGTCAAAGATATGAGTCAACTCTGTGTTAATTATTAAACAAAAGTATAGGATCAACTCATTTGAAATACTTTAGTCAGCTTCTTTTCATTCAAAAGTTTAACTTTTCTGATGTAGAGAAGAGAGGTACCTCAAAGAAGTGATTTTAAAAACAAAAAAAGCTTCGATTTGTTTTTGCAAAAAAAATACATTTTACTTTTTATTTTTAAGAGTTTAAGACCATTTTATCCACGGGGGAAAGGACCAACACAAGAGCTGTACAGCTCATCACGGCGAACCGCTGTTGTGCCCCTGTTTAAGAGCTACATGCAATTTTTTTGTTTATTTTTCTGGGCTGGGTTATGTTGCTTCACCCTCAAGCAACGAGTACGGATCATGGTGGGCCTCGAACATCCGACCTTTCGATTGAGATGCGGAGACGTAACCACTTCACCACCGCTCCCCTAACCACTTCACCACCGCTGATGAGTGCACATAAACGGTTATAAACTGTTTTACCGCCTCAAAATTTCTTCTGCTCGCTTTGCTTCGCCTTGATCTAGAGATAATTTTTGTGAGGGTAGGGTGGTCTACAAAAATGGTAATTTTTTTCCAATAATCAGAAATGACAGGTGTTGGATTGTGTTTTTTTTTGTCTCAATTCCAATCGGTTTATGATTAAGTTGCTTCATGGGGTCAAATCAGCTACCTTTTTCTCCCAAATTGCTTTATTAAATTCAGCTGCATTTTTTGAAAAGTAACATATTTCGAGTGAAAGTCTCTTGGCGTTTTTTGGAGTCAAAAATGAAAATTCAGTGAAGGAACCACTTTTGTGTTCTACAACCTTACAAGTAACAATACAACGGCATTGGAAGCTCTAAGTAGTCCTGTGCGGAAACTATACGTTTTCTTCTCATCCTCCCATAATAATTTTCAATTGAATTTTAAAAAATTCTCTCGAAACTGCCACAGATACTCTCTCGAAAAATTCTCTCGAAACTCCCCTCTCTATTCTGTCACTACTCCCCCCCCCCCCCCCCACCAAAAGGATGAAAATTTACAATAAAAAATTGTTTTTTATTTCTTTAAGTTTTCTTGAAAAATAGGTGCAATTTATACGACTTTCACATATATGTAAGCTATTTTTCAGCCAGCGTGAAAGTGAAGTTGGCTGTTGTGAAACTTAATGTGAATTATTACCAGCAAACGTCGACTTACAAAGTAGTCCTTCTGGAAGCGACCCCCTACACCAGTCAGTATCATACCACTCTCCTTGTCCCTAATGGGGGCTCCACCTCCACTCCCACCGAACTGGAGTCCCCCTTCCGAAGCATTGATCTCTCCTAATTTGACAAGTTCAGGTTTCAGGGAACGGCAAAACTCTGTATTGGATCTATCAAATTTCCACAACAAAGTTCACAAAAAGAGTAACTTTAACAAGGTAACTGTTTATTGATATCATATAATAAAGATTGCTACTCTAGAGTGCATAAAAAACTACCCGCAATGAGGTTTCATGGGCAATAAACGATTATAATCAATTTTCGCGGCCAAAAAAATTGACATTATAATTTGGCGATTCCAACATTCAAGTTTTGAATACTAGATTTCAAGGTTTTGGAAAATCCAGGCTCTTACTCATAAGAATTTTTTATTATCTATTAAAATCTATTATAATCCGTTATAATCCAATATGATCTACTATAATCGATTAATATAGATTAAATTGATTTCTGCTTTGTTTGTTTTATCGTCGATTTTTAATGCATTCCCGTACTGACAAAAATGGATTGCAAAAGATTTTATATGGATAATGTTGCAGAAAGATTTTTAAAAAATCGATCGACGTGAATCGATTTAAAATCAACTTAAATTGATACAAAATGTGGTTTTAAGAATCAAATTCAATCCATTTTAAATCACTTCGAATCCTTTTTTGTCAGTTTTTTTGGTTTCATTTTCCCGCGAGTAACAATAAAATCGATTTAAATCGACTTCAATCAATTTTCAACAAATTTTTTGTGTACTCACTTACTTAGATTATATACAGATTATATTCCAATTTTTTAGACTAAGAAACAATAGAGAAATAATGAAAAAAATTTAATGTATGCTTTTTAATTGACTTTTGGTTTTGATGTTAGGACTAAAAACAAATTATGAGGACAAGTAATGTCTAAATTTTCTGCTTCAAAAATGATTTTTTTCCAATTTGATTTTTTAAGTAATATGCCGTTTGCTGAAAAAAAATGAGCCTGGAAGGTTAATAGTGAAAATTACATTTCAAAAAAAATTGCATAGATTTTTTCTCATTACTGCGTAGTTTGCAGTAAAAGCTCTCCTCGAGTGACTTTTGCTCTCTGTAGTTTTTCTTGAGAATTTCTTCAGAAGAAAGTTTTGCTCAAGCTGTGAAACTAAATTAATAGTTAAGTTGAATCAGCTTTGTTGAGATTTTGATGATTTTCACTACCTTCCATTTAAACTATTTATAGGCAATAAATTCGATTTTTTATCTGCAGTAAAAATTCATTTAGTCCATTATAAATCGATTTAAATGTCTAAAGCGGCTACCGTAATTTGATTTCTTTTCAAAATTTAATCTGCATAATAGTTGATTTAAATTTGTCAGTCCGAGTTATAATCAATTATACCATGAAAACCCATTATAATTGATTATTACCCATATAACCTCATTGGGACAGTGAAAATATTATGCTTCAATAACCATAATAAACTATTATATTATTATTTCTATCATATATTATGTTATTTTGTTATTACAAGTGTTACGCTTGAGTATTATATTAAATCCGCTTGAATAACCAAAAAACGAACCTTTATGGTTTCCATTAATAGCTGGTGTCTGCCTTTGTGGGAGGCCAAAGATCTGCTAAAACGAAACTTAGACTCAAAAAGATTTTAAAACAAAGTGAAATCTTATAGTCACTCGACAAGGACACAAAACTTACCGACAAACTGTCACTTTCGCCTAAAAGTAGTTATATGCTGTTATTGGCTTATATCACTGCGATAAAAATCAAAACTACAAAAAAAATTTAAATTAGTGATCACACCTGATTTGCGTTGAGTTCTTCTCAGATCATTTTCATTCGAAAATCCAAGAGGCCTGGTGTTCGCCTTTTGTCCATTGCTGACGCGATTGGATAGCACGACTAAAATTTTGCAAGCGCTTGTCCTATAAGTTTTGATATGATGCGTTGTTACCAATACTTTGACTCAAAAAATAGGTAATGCTTCATAGCGAAACTTTAAGCACGATTTCTTTTAGCAATTTTTTTTCTCGCAGTTTCAGCTGAAGTTTTTGGCAAAATAAGGTAGTGTTTCAATGTTATATTAAATTATGACCGTGAAAAAAATTGCCTTTGTTGTTTCTTTTCCTTAGGCGTTCAAAGTTTTTGTCAAACCACAAATTGTTTACCGAGAATTTATGACGTGAAAAACATGCTAAGAAAAGTAAAGAGTTTTGTATAAATTGTGCAAACCTGAATGTCCGCCGGCCCACTGTTCCAGATCATACTTGGTCTGTATCTTCTGCATCTCCCCTGGATTCTTGCTCAGAGTCACTTTCCTCTTGGCCGAGGGGGTGCCTGGACAGGACTTGGACGGCAGGATGCACATGTTCTCACCAGACCCCCCAGAATCATCTGCAATTTTATACAAACCATATGTCTACTTGTTACATTATCAAACGCTGCAAAAAATTTTGCAATGCAAAATTGGCATTTGAATATCATTTAAGCATCTGATCATTTCAATGCAGAACAGCATTTGAGAATCGCGATGCAGAACACCATATGAAAGTTTCGATGCGGAGCAGCATTGGGATTTGAATTTGCCCAAATAAGTGGCATGCGCAGAAACTTTTAAGTTTTTCTAGGGGGGGGGGGGTTAGCGGTTCTTAGACAAATTTTGAAAAATCTGCGTCCTTTTATTAAGTCGATTTAATTTTCGGAGCTCTCCGAAAATACTATAAGGACCCTATTTTGTCAAAAAAAACTCTCCGCCGCAGGCAAAATAAAAAAAAACTGACCAAAAACATGTCTACTTGTTACATTATCAAACGCTGCAAAAAATTTTGCAATGCAAAATTGGCATTTGAATATCATTTAAGCATCTGATCATTTCAATGCAGAACAGCATTTGAGAATCGCGATGCAGAACACCATATGAAAGTTTCGATGCGGAGCAGCATTGGGATTTGAATTTGCCCAAATAAGTGGCATGCGCAGAAACTTTTAAATTTTTCTAGGGGGGGGTTAGCGGTTCTTAGACAAATTTTGAAAAATCTGCGTCCTTTTATTAAGTCGATTTAATTTTCGGAGCTCTCCGAAAATACTATAAGGACCCTATTTTGTCAAAAAAACTCTCCGCCGCAGGCAAAATAAAAAAAAACTGACCAAAAACAGGCGTTTTTGGGCACTTTTTGAAAAATTTTGACAAAAAAATGCGTTTTTTCGGCGCGCGCTACCCCCTCAAATTTAATTATATTTTAGAAAAATTTTGAGGTTGGCAGGCGAAAAATGGATGTCGTAAAGTTGGGGTTTAGGAACTTAGACGAAAAAATTTAGACGATCAAAAAATAACGAAACTTAGACTATAACTTCCGTGCAAATTGCGTGAATTTTGTTTACAGACTTAAATTAACTTTTGGCAGAGTAAATACTGGTTGTTCGTAAACTCCGTTTTTTATGGTCGTCTAATTTGCTTGACTTCTAATTTCCTAGGCCCCCGTAAAATTATACCAAAGGGGGGACCCTTTGAAAAATTTGCCAACCAGAATTGAGGGGGGCGGTCACCTCCGCCCCTCCCCTCGGCACGCTACTGGCCCCAATTAAGGTTTCGATTTACGCCACCTTTTAACTCTTGCAGTCGAAAACTACGATAAAAATGCGTAGCACTTCCTCGTTTTCAAAATCTAGAACGGACCCGACCTGCTGTTCCATTTGAGCTTTTGTTCCCTTTAGATATCATAGCTGTTCGAAGTGCAGTAGCTTTCGGCTTATCTCGACTGAACCCAAGTGAGAACTCATCGTCAGTCACATTCTTGCCGCCTTCTGAAATTAAAACAGTGAAAAATTACGGTTGTTTAAAGTTAAATAAATTCAGTTTATGGGGGAGTATGTTAAACTTGTTTGTGGATCAAATTAATATCATCTACTTTAAGTGAGGCTGTTTGGTCCGTTTATTCGGAGAGAGGGGAGGGTGTGGTCGCGTATACATGATATCAGGTGTGTTTTTTTAAGGCAGTGATTCAATTACAGCTGAACTTAAGATACCATGTATAACAATTCCTCTTTCAAGAATTTGTCCACTGTGTCATCCAGAAGCGGATTAATAATTAAATAAGAGGTGGGACGCTTTCCACGCCTTCCCTTTCAAGAATTGGAGTCATGACTACCCAAAGAGACCCCCTTTCGGTACAATTTTAGGATATCTATCTTGACAGTGTTTTGCGAGAGCTCGGAACTCAATTTATTGACTTTAGAAAACTGCCCAATAGAGTAAAACTTAGATCTGCAAAACTTAGATAAAGGTGACACTTAAAAAACTAAATCGCCAAATTAATTCATTTACTGTCGGCATGAAAACGTAGTTGGAGAAATCGATTTTTGCTCCTCTTAACTTTTTCATTATGATTCAGAAAGGATAGAGTCTTCTCAATGTAAAAGAAGGCTCATTTGATAAAATAAGCAGATTTAGACGGCAGCCGGATTTTTGTTCCGAATTTTCAAGAAAACGGAATGTTTACGCATGTGCAAGTTTTTTTTATAGATTCAACTATCGACTTTTTAACTAAGCAATTCGGACGTAAGTTATTATATCACCTGAAAACTATTGTTACCCAATGCTCAAACTTACAAACTTTCACCCGTGATAATTTTCTGCAAAGTTATAGATGTTTGAAAATTGTTAATTTGGGCAATTTGGGATAGATAACGCGCAATATAATTTTTTATAACACGCGTTAGCAATGCGTTGCAAATAGAATCAAAAAACATTTTAATTTTCCCTTAAATGCAATCGGAACATTCAAGGCTTTACTCTGATATACAAGCAGTTCCAAATTGAATGTTGGAAGTTTCTTTTCAGTTATTTTCAGCCAATCAGAGTATTTGAGTATTCAAAAATGTCAAAGTAATTGCAAAATATGCAAATAAATCAAGGCTATTAACATCAAAATTGAACACAAGAAGCAGACAAGAACTTTCATATGTGAAATCGAAGGCTGGTTTTGGAACCTATGAATCCTGTAACCAATTTCAAGAATGAAATAAGTTAAAACTAAAAATTTATTGTTTATCTTCACAAATTGTTCAGCAAAGGCGAATTCCCATATATTTCAATGTTCATAGCACCCAAAATACAAAACAGTCGCATAAGTCCAAAAATTTATCTTCTTGAATTCTGATTGGTTGAAACTTGAGCCAACGTTTTTATGGATTGGTTGCTTACCGTTCAAGCAGCATAAATTCCAGCTGCAGAATAGTGACCTCCGCAGTTGCTCTACCGTGTTGGGAGCGTGCCGACAGAGGTTAGGACTCTATACAAAATTTAGAGCCAGTTATCGCCTCAGAGCGGCAACGCGCGCATTGCGGCTCACCGGCGACCTCAAACCGAGAGTCAGCTCAATTAGTCTTTGACCAATTGAAAAGATTTGGGACTTGTGCGACTGCTTTGTTAATTTGGGACCTATGGGACTAATTTTTCATTTTGGGACATATGATTAGCAAAATTTTGCTCTGCTGCTTAATTTCATTTTCCGCTAATAATGACTTCGGTTCCCTGCAAAAGTCACTAAGCCAATAGGAGCCTTTAACGATTCTGATTGGCTAAAAGTTTTGCTTCATTCGGTCCCTCTATCATGTCTATCATGAGAATACCCCCGATTTACTTTTTGTATATATATTACATGCTGCTCCATCGGTTTTCACACACTTCAACCCTCGCATATGTCGCCCCTATAGCAATTATTGGCACATTTTGCACTACTACATTTCGCCCTTCAAATCGTAAATTTAGAAAACGGCGGTTCTTAATTGTGCAATGAGTTAGGGGCGAAATGTGTGAAATTATGAGGGACGAAACGTCTCATGTGCGAAACCTGCCACTAATTTTAAAAGAGGCGAAAAGTGTGTGGGGCAAAACATGCCACATTCGGTTCCATCACGTAGCTCAGCAAGTATTGCATACCTTTTTTCTGGGCGTTTCTCAGTTCGTTGAAGTTGTGAGTGAGAGTGTTCCGTTTACCCCTGGGGGTAGCTGCACGAGATCTAAGGTAGAATGGCTCCAGCTGACGGGGAGATGTAGAAGAACCATTCATTTGATCATCTACAAGCGGGAACAAAATTATATTGATAGGTCACAAGAAAAAAAATGAAAAGAAAAATACTTCTGCTTTGTTTTAGGACCGCAATTTTCACATATACTTCCAAGCAAGCGCGGATCTGGTGCGGCAATTTTTCGAGACCAAACTGATTTTTTTACTTTCCCCAAACATCATTTCGATCCTATTTTGAGAAAAAATTCTGTACCGCAGGCAAACTTTTGAAAAAATGACAAAAACGCCGTTCTAAAGCACTTTTTGAAAGATTTTGACCAATAAATCATGTTTTTATTTATTGCTTTTATTCCTGCTCCGCTCTCCTCTCAAATTAGTTTATATTAGCGCCTTAGGCACCTTTAGATAACTTTTAGGATTGGTCAGATAAAAAGGGATGTCGTTTTATAGTACCAAAAAACGACCCTTTTGGTGGCGAGGGGGTCGAAAACCATAGAGATATGCGTCGGCACAAATTCGCTATTGATTGTGGTATTGGTGGCTCGTACAATTTATCAGTTAAGTGTACCCAGTCGACTTTAGCTGCCTTAGTTTTTAAAGGTTGAACTATCCTATCATATCAAAGCCCGTTTCGGACTTATATCAAAACAGCCGTGATCGAACTCTGAAAAAATTAGGAAGCTTTCTGGTTGTCGAGATAAAATGACCAGATTAATTTCGATTTTCAGACTAATTGGCACGGAATTTACAAATGTCAGGGTGGGAGACTGTGCTCTCAATTAATTCGATTGCAATTCTTAGATCAACTCATTTACAATGATTTCAATTTTAGAATTTTTAATCTGCCTCAATCGCGGTTCACTAACAACGAAAATATCAAGGAAGAATAATTGGAAAAACATTAACAATTGCTGAATTTTTTCAGCTTTTTTTAGTTTTTTTTTCTAATTTTTTTTTTTCAATTTTCAAAGTATTCACATTAAAAACCTGAACTGGTAACACTCTTTTGACGTTTGATCTAAATGAAGATTCTCATTCAATATTTGATTTGTGCCAATTGAGTTCAGTTGTTTCTTTTTTGGCAGGTACAATTTATATTGTCCCAACATATCGAAATTATTCAATTATATCACGGCTTGTAACTTATGGTCCAGCCTAGCAAGAAATGATGTTTTCTCCCGAAAGTTTTTAAATAGTATATTTTACAGTTTTTTTTGTACACAGGGTGAAAGATATTGATGCCCAGGGCCCACATTTATATTCCAGCTTGTCAAGAGATTGTGGTTTCTCCTGAAAAAAACTTCAACTAATTTTTTTTACACAGACTTAACGTTATTGATGCCCAGGGACCAATTTGATGAAAATGCGCTCTTCATCATTTTTACTCGAAAAAATGTACTGCGTGACAAACTAAATTTAAAATGTTGAGAAGTTTTGCTGAGAACAGTTTTGCTGAAAAGTTTTGAACAGTTTTTCAATCATGCTCTTTGATGCTTTACAAAACTTGTTGCCACAAACTTTTCCTACAATTGCGTTTTCGAGCTTTCAAAGAACGAAACAGACAAGTTGTCACGTTCCAGGGACCGTTTTAAGCAGATTTTTGAAAAGCCTCTCAACCTCTCAAAAGCGAGATGAACTTTAATTTATTTTGTATAGCTAAACAGATTTTATAAAGGTCCTTGAAAAACATCCCCCAGCTTGAAACACGTCCTTGAGGAACGTTTTGCGTTTAAAAACAACATACTTAACTATCAAATACCACCCAAGAGCGGATTTATGGGCGAGGCTGTGGAACGATTTATTGGAACGCCATTTTTATTCAACTCAAACTAAAAGACTTTCTAAAGTAACTAAATTGAAGGGGATATAAATAAAAAACGACATCACTTTATGGAAAAAACCGTGCAAAATCTGCTCAAAAAGTTTGCCGGGTGCGGCTGGCACTTAGACAGTTTTTATACTTGGATGTTTTAGACTTTAAATACTAATCAAATGAAGTATTGATTCGCATAGACTGGACTCACTGTTCCCGTTGGATGCATTCGAGTGCTGTTCAATCTGGCGCATCTCCACTGGATTGTTGCTGAAGTGTCTCCTTCTGGCGGCGGAAGAGGAGCGGGACTGGCGGGGGTGATTACTCCCCTCTCCTGTGATTGGGTTGTTGCCGCCACCCGACTGGGTCGAATCGAACACATCGTCTGCAAGAGTATCAATGGACCCAACTGGCGAACCTGGCACACAATTTTTAAAAGTCTATTGTCCAATATTATAATTATCAAACGTATCTGAACCACAGAGAATAACCGTTTTCTGAATTGAAAAAACCGCAGAGATGGTTTGTATTATAATAATTATAATTGTATGTTCGCTTTTTTGATATTCATTGCATTGCGCTCTAGACTCATCAATTTATAAATCTTGTGCGACAGCTAAAATCATGAAAAATGATTTTGTAAAATTTTTTACTGCTGAGATAGAAAAGCAAGAAATTTGAGTCACTCAAATTTATATCCAAAGAGTCTACGTTCAAGCTTTCGATGGAGCCCAAAACGGATAGTTTTTTGTTCCTGCTTCAATGGAATTTCTTGCTTCAAGTTCTTTCTTAAGTTTTTGTTTCATTTGAATTTCTTTACCGCCAGTTGATTTGCACCGTGACCTTGACCTCTCACGCACTTCCCTGTTCTTCCGTTCGCCTATGTCATTGGTCAGTGTGCTGGTCTTTGGCCTGGGACTACTTTTGCTCTCAACTGGCGCTGTAATCGGGACCACTCCCAGAAGATTCCTGTCTGAATAGTAACAGCATTTCAGAAAGTCAATAGGCCGACAATTTTATTGTTTGTACGAGCTGAACACTTTAACTATAGGATCGTTTATCTACGAGTAAAGATAGCAAAAAATAAGATTTGTTTATACCCCTGTAAAAATTAACTCTTTGGAGAAGTTGCTTCAAATTAATCAGTAAAGAGAGAACCTCGCGGCACTCGAACCTTTGCAGTTCATTGACAAAATCACAGAATAAAAAGTTTTCTTTTTCTATGACAAGTTTAAGTCTTGCCTGAAAGTTGAGAAGGATTGGCTTAAATTCGCTATCAGTTAATTTGGTAACGTTTTTTATCAATCACAATTTTTTTTAATGATCAAGTTCTTTCAAATATCATTTATGCAGAAAAAAGCACTCTGGGTCTAAATAAGTCACATCAACTTGATGCTGCAGTGAAATTTCTACCAATAGCAAACTCCCATATTTTAGGAGTTCTCACGAAAACCGGCTATGATGATGAACAACTAACTAAATAGTAGGTTTAAATTGAGACCTCTAAGCCGCATACTATCCGATTTCATAGAATATATTTCAGAATAAGATGTATATCAGAACCAACCCTGATTTTTCTCGACCTACCCATGTTGCCTGAAAGAGAAAAATAATTAAAATAGTTTAACAACTTGGCTGCTGTTTGCGAAGTTCAACATTAACTTAAAAATTTTTTCTCTTAAATTTTCTCCAATTAATTTTTATGTTACTGGAACTGGGTCTTGTAAGTTCTGACTCTTTGAGTTGAAGTTAGTAAAACACATATGAAAACGATTCGAATACCAAACTCGAGTGAAAAAATTTTCCGTTTTTACGAACAAACTAACTTTTCCCACTGTACTTCTCAATCTCATTCAATTCTTTCATGTCCTTAGAGAGGAACCTAGTCTTGGGTTTGGGCTGTGGCCGGTCCTTCTTAAACATCACTGGCTCGTCCTCTACTTTGGTCCTGCTCTGGAACTGTCGCAGTTCCCGGGGATCATTAGACAGAGTTGACCTTCTGGGCTTCGCTTTGGTCGAGTTGTTCATTCCGTGGGGGAAGTTGCATTTTTCTAGTCTTCTATCTATTTCGGCTAAATTGGAAAAAAAAACAGTCATTTTTTGCATTAAGTGTAAACCACAAATGCAAAACTCCACCAAATCCACAAAAAAATCAATCAAATTTTGAAGTAATGATAATTCCTTATGATGTTCCAGTGAACCCCAGGATGATAGGATTCGGATGACTCACCTATTTCCAGTTTGAGTTTCTGTTCCATCTTGCTCATGTCGTACTCGTCCACTCTCAAGGTCACATTCCTGCTACCTCCCCCCAGTCCCTTGCCACGAGGAGATGAGTCACTGCAAGCCTCTATTAATGAACAAATGCTTGGTCAAAGTTTTCCAAAACGTGCGTTAAAACGAAAATTGTGTAAAGCGCAGAAAATTTTAGAAACATATGATCATTTGTAAGTCTGTAGGCTACGAAACCAACAAGGTTAAGCTGAGAAAATATCATCAAATTCTGAAAGCTGTTTCAAAAATTGCCTCTTCGACTAAATGCTAAATACACAGCTGCTCAAAAAATGCTGAATTATAGTTAACTCAGTTTGAATTTTTGCTCAATTTTTCGAAGAAAGTGACGGAGTATTTCTGCTCGTGCGCTTTTTTCTCCGAACAAATTTCGACTTATTAACTAGCATTTTATGATTAAATCGTTTCCTATATCGTCCAAAAGGTAACGCGCTCAAATGATTTCAAATTAAAAAATGTATATATTTCACCTGTGATCGTTTTTTGAAAAAATAATGGTGGTTTAAAATTTTGTGCGCGATATCTTTCATGCTTTTAACGCGTAAGTGGAGATTTCATCTGTCTTACTAATGACATTGTCGTTCTAAATTGAAAATGATTATTGTCGTTCTAAATTGAATTGAGGCATGCTCTTAGTCTTTTTAATACTTGGTTTGATCTAAAAATATTTAACTAAATGCAAAAAAATCACTTTGTTTTATTCAGCGTGTGGTGGAATAATTTTTGAAAAAAAAATCTTTAAAAAAACTAAAGAATTTTCCAGTTTTTTTTGAAAACTTTTTTCCACAAAGCTTAAAAGGTAGTCGGAACATTCAAGGCTTTGCCCTGATGCAAGCAGTCTTGTTCTATTTTAGTTTAGATAAAACAAATGTTGCGGAGTTTTCTTAATATCTATGTTTTATAGTTTGCTGGCTGATATGATACTCAATGAAAAGTAAGTAATTTGTATTTATAACATAGAAGATTAAGCCTGAAAACTCGTTTTGGGACTTTCGGGCTAGTTTTTGGAACTCTCTTTACGCATATTCATCAACGTTGTGCAATTCAAAGTATAATTGTTTCCGCAAAACTTACGAGGTGCAAAGAATAACTCAAAAAGTGGCGACATAGCAAAACAGTGAGGAACAGCTGCTGTGCAGGCTGCAGAGAATGTTTCGACCAATATGTTACAAGAAAAAATGTTCAAAGATAGAGATTTTTTTCTGAATTTTTAAATTAGCCTTTTTTATTCAATTTCAATGTTGTTTGAATATGCTGTTATTTTTCTCTTTTTTTTCCTATTCAGTTAAGTGAAAAAATTATAAAAGGTGATTTTATATTTTATCGAAATTAAAAGTTTTTATTAAAAATTAGTACCCGCATGCTCAGTTTAGGCGTAAGTAATCGATTATAACAGATTACTATGATGATTTTTTTGACAATTATAATTGATTATAATTACCACAATTAGGTGTTTAAAGGATTTATAAATGATTATATTCGTGATATTTTCTAAGAGATTTTAATCTCTTATAATCGATGATAATTGATTATAGTTCTGAAAAAACCCTAAAAATCAATTATAATCGATTATAATCAATTATAATCTCTTATTTTGCCAAAGTTTTGTCAATCAAAACAATAATCGAATTATATCTCATGGGTCATTAATTTTGTATCAATAAGAAAATCTCTTGAACACTTTGGTGAACACAAAGTTTCACCACGAAACAAAAAATTTCGTAGAGATCATTTCATATTAGTGGAAACGTTCCTGCGGTAGATGAAAAATAAATTTTCCGAATCAATCATGAGACTAAATCTTTTTGCTGATGTTTTGGTGGTTAGAAAAGCTTAAAATATGCATCACAAAACAATTCTAACGGGGAAGAAATCAAAAAAATCCTTATAAATTTGATTTGATTGGAAAACTTTAAAAACAAATTTCTCATTTTTCATAAAAACCAACGTCTACAAAAAGCATAAAATATAAGCAATTTAAATGCAACTTCGAAGACAGAATGGTCAAACAAAAGGGATTATAATCAATTATAATCAATTATAAGGGATTTTTGTACAAAACTAGTGAATTAGAAATTTGAATAAAAATAATGGATTATAATCAATTGTAATTGTTTATAAATGTATCGAAAAATAGACGAATAATTAATTGATTATAATGTATTATTATCAATTATAATTTGATTTCAAAAAGAGAGATTGTAATCGATTATGATCTGATTAAAATCGATTGTTTCTCAATTTTAGTAAGATTGGTACTAAAATCGTAATATAATCAATTATTAACGCTTGAAAGTGGATGCGGGTAGATTTGAAGTAGGGCGGATAGCTTTTCAACTAGTTTCGTCTAATTTAGGCTGAAAACCATAAATATTCAAAGCAGTTTTTTTCGAACACTGCTGAGATATTTTTGTCAAACTTTTTTGGAATATGTGTTACGAACAAAAATTTTTGTTATGATACCACACTTGACCCACTGCAAATTTTCCCTGATCTAGTGAGAATTGGTTGTAAAAATCGGATCCTTGTCCATAGCTCCATTCCACTCTTTGAGAGAGGTCAGAATAATTAAAATGTTTGAAGTAAATCAATTGAGAAAAATGTATTCGGATTGTAATTTACGTTAAAAAGTTATGAAGTGCTGTTCTGTATTTGTAGGTCTTTTTTGGGCTTAATTGGTTTTTCAAAACTTTTTTTTATTTACAAAAGTAGCATTTTTCATATTTTAAATCGTGGCCTACATTATTCGTTACGATTTTGAGTTTTCTTCATTTCAAGTTTTTAAGCAAAACCTTATTATTTTTAAGGCTGTAGAATATCTAAGGGTTGTTAATAAAATTTAGATGCTGCTTCTATTTTCTTTTTTTTTGTCAGTGAAATTCACGAATCGCATACAACCTATTTGTTTGCGTGCTATTATAACTGTTTCAAGTTTATATGCGGTATTTTTGTAATCCTGAACGCCAAAAAATTCAACTTGGTCGAGATTAGAAACAAGTAAAAATTTTTGAACTTCTTACTATCCGCTCAATCGGTTCAATCATAGTTACACAGCTACTCTCAACAATGAATGTTTTTACTTTAGTCTGAAAACGCACGAAAACTCAGATGGTATTTAATAAACATATTAAATTGTTTTCGGGCTCATATGACACTAAAGGGTGTTAAGTCAAAAGTATTTGCTATGGAAAACCATTATCCTGACAGCTCTTCATATGACGCTCCGATACGTCCTCAGAATTCTCTGAATGCAAAGTTCCCAGTTTTTTTTATTAAAAATCCAATTATAATTGTTTCAGAAAAATTTCAAAACAAGGCTTGTTGTGAATTTTCAGATATATAGAAAAACTCAAAAAGGAGATGATAAACCAAAATTTAGACGGTGGAAAATACAATGAAAGCAAATGAGATGAATCCACTTCTGATTTTTTTATGTAGGTGCTCTGTATTTACAGTAATTTTTCTTAATTTTTTCAAAGCTGTTTGGACATGATTTGGGCAAGCCTTTTCAAGTTTCTTATTCATAAGATTATTTTCTTGTACTATGGCTTGGACCGATCTTGGTTTTGATTTCGAGACTTGACATCTGCGGGGCTCTGAAAACATCAACGGGACTCTGATTCTTACTGATTCAGTTTGGTCGCCCCTGATTGAAACTTTCGGATATTCTGAGCAAATCAAATCAAGACTGAAAAGGGTTTCACAATGCGTGAGATCATAACTAGTTATAGGCGACTGTTCGTAAAAACACATTGAGAGGTAAATAATGCGAGCAAGCTTTCTTTACTTGTCATGCCTTGTACCGAACTTTGACTATTACAAAGAGTCGCCTGTTTCGAAACTGCTGGAACGAGTTCTAAACTAGTATTTATAAACCAATTATATTATTGATAAAACTATCTCTATAAAAGATTAGTAACTAATAATAAATCATAACTAAAAACTGACTTCTTTAACAAGATGTAGTTACATAAATGCAATATGATGTAAAGATTTCTTAGAGCCCAAGGAACGCGCAGCAACGGAGATGAAAACTCGATTACATTCCAACTCTGGAATGGCAAATCTATTTGGTTTGTTGCCGTAGTCACTACCCTCAAAGGATTTAAAGTATGGGCTCAACATCGCAGCAAAGAAAACCCATTGAAACAGACCAATGGCCATCTCGATGTTGATCTCACATACCGATCCTAGTCACTTGGCGCTTCATACGGAAAAGTTTACCCTGCACGTAGTCTCGCTCTAAGCTTAACGAAATCGAGAAATAATTGCATCGGTGACACAATCACCCAAGACGATCCACGATCATTGAGACCCATTTTTGAAACACGAACACACGATCTCTCTACCCAAACAACTAATCTCTCTTCTCTTCAAGAACTCACTGCTCAAAACTCTAAAAGAAAACTACTTCACCCGTCCTTCACTACAATAAACAATTAAAAACTAAAAACTCTCTAAACCCCGGATGGGTGGAACCAGTTCTAAACTAGTATTTATAAACCAATGATATTATTGATAAAACTATCTCTATAAAATATCACTTATTAACCAATCATATTCCATCACTAACATTGACACGTACTTTTAAGTGCTGAAACTACTTGTAGTTTCAGCACCAGAACAATTTGAATAAATCGTAAACTACAGTTTTCTCCTAGTGGATAAACTCCAAGAACTAACTCGCAAAGACAATATACACTAGATATACTGAGACTAGGAGATATAAGAGTAAGATTAAGATTGGTATTAGACTAGGAAGTTGCACACGAACCTATCCGGCCGAAAATAAGATAGCGTGACGAACAGACGGTGTACTTTATCTGAAATTACTCTATGAGTACAGACCCTCGGTCACAACTCACTGCTGCGAATAATTGTTGCTTGTTCCAATTGTCACCCAACTTTCTTTTCAACTTTCTAAGTGCGTTTTTGTTTGCATGAAAAAAACACTGAGATGTCAAGAAAAACTGTAAATTAGGTTTTCAGACTAAAACACACACACACACATACATATATATATATTTACATACATATTAGGTCTCGATGATCACGGTATCATCGAGACCTCCATGATAACTCAACCGTGCATTCTTTTCACCTTCTCGCCTCTTCTAAAAATAAATGAGCAGAAACGCTTTGACCAAAAATTGAAAGTAATATTGAAAAATAAACCGATTCCCTAACAGTTTTTTTTTAATTTTCTTGTTGTTGAACTTGAATTTTTGATTATTTTGTCTGAATACATAAGATCACGCCATAAATTTTTCATGGAAAAATTTCTGCGATGAACTTCATCAATTAACTTGAGCATACTGAATTCGGCAAATACGCAACATGAATGACGAAGCTTTTAGGTAGGGGCGGATCTAGTATTTTCTCGAGGGGGAGGGGGGTGCTTGGGAATTTTCAAAAAAATTTCGAAAATTTTGTTCTAAAAAGATGCAGGCAAAATTAAAAAAAAACAGGCCACAAAAAGCACACTATTAGGCATTTTTTGGACATTTTTGACCAAAAATCGCGTTTTTTTCGTGCGCGCTCCCCCCTCAAAATTAGTATATATTGGCGCGGAAGGCTCCTTTAGAAAAATGTTGGGGGCCGGCAGCCAAAAATGGATATCTCAAAATAGTTCAAAGGGGGGACCCTTTGGTCGGCAGGAGGTCGAATCCCTGAAAAAAGGGTGTCCGCCTCCACCAGCCCGCCCCTGCTTTTAGACAAGTCAAAGACTCCCTGATTTGAACTTCTGCGAAGAGCTCAAATAACGTATCAATCTCCGACTCACACTTGTAAATCGCCCATCTCGACTCTCAAAATGCAGCTTCATCGGTTTCATTTTTGGTACATGGATAGAGTTTACTCGACTAAGGTAGCGGCAGAAACATTTAAACGATTTCCGGTTTGCGACGTATGTGAGACACGGTTGAACGAGTCTTTCGATCGAACAAAGTTTTCGAGTAACTAATTGAGGGTCTAATAAAGGTGGGTTTTGATCTCCTATTTTCGCGGCATTGGTCAAATAAAGGTGGGTTGTGAACTACTACTTTTATATATTTTTCCTTTTGTTTACTTTTGCCTTTCTCAATGTTTATTTTTTACGTGTTTTTTTTGTATTGAATCAAAAAATTTTAAATTGAGACAAAGCACACCAACATCTCGATTTAATATATAAAGGATTATCTAACCTGAAGCATGGAGAACTATTTTTGAGCCTGACATTTGGAAAGCAGATGTCACTACGCGGAAACTTGCAAACTGGTAATAATACCGCTTTCAACTTGTTTATTTGTCAACAACCAAGCAGAATAAAAAATAAATGAACAATTTAGTTTCGTTCAGTTGTGCTTGCAAGTAATATTTATGGTCAGTTTTTAACAATGAATGTTTTGCTGAAATCTTATAAGAGAGGATTTTGAAAGCCATATGCGGTATGCAAAAAAGAAGGAAACCAACTGCTTGTTTACATTTATAATAGAAAAAAACTAGTTTTGCGAACTGACTTCTGAAATAAAATGTGAACTGAGCAATAGTTGCATAATTGTCGATCACCGATCAAACATATTCTTATTTGAACACCAAAAATAATATTTTCACTTTTGTAACTCTACATGCACCAGTTACATATAACTTTATAATATACTTAGCTCCAATGTGTTAAGAAGGGTCAGTTTTTTTAATGTAAATTATCCTGCAAGCATGAATGTATATTTATAGATTCCTTGAGTGCTTGTTTTCATAGCTTTGATCAAAAAGATTATCCATTAGAATTTAAAGAATTTGGATTTTGCAGGATTGAAAATAAATCCATTAAAACATGAAATTTCACTGGTCTCGGATAATTTTTGAACAAAATTTTGAGAAATTAGAAGATGTGATGTGCCATAATTTGAGTCGAATGAATAAGAGCAATTAGATTGCCTCAAATCCATTTGGAATAGTTATGAGTGCGGGGATAGTATGCCTAGCATAAGTAATTGACGCATTAAAACAATCAGGTATTGACCGAACAGTTTCCAAAACGATTAAGTGCACTGAAAGCACATTCGCGTAGCAATCCGTAGATTTCCGGATTGATCCTCGCACGCTAATAGTTTTCTTTGAAATTTTTCTGAGCAAAAAAAACAGCCCAAGCATACATATTGGCCACTTTCCTTGAAAATCACAGGTGTTTTCAAGGCCATTCGTGCTACTTGTTGAGCAAACACAGCTTCTTTTGAAAATATACAAAATGGTGAGAAAGCCTAGCCGTATTGTTTTCTGAAAGAAGTACAAGTTGTTTGGATAATAACTTCTTTCAACTTGGTTCACCGTGGTAAACAAAAAGGCTAATCATAAGACTTCATACATTGCTTGTCTCATTTGCGATAGCAAAACTTTTTCTAAATCAGGTCCTCTATACTTTTTCACTATCAGCAGCTTAGTTAGAAAAGTAGTAATATTCTCGCAATTGAGTGTAATTAGGATTAAGACCATTTATCCACGGGGGAAAGGACCAACACAAGAGCTGTACAGCTCATCACGGCGAACCGCTGTTGTGCCCCTGTTTAAGAACTACATGCAATTTTTGTTGGGGTTTTTTCTACTGGTTTTTGTTGGTTATTTTTCTGGATGTTTTTTAATCTACTGGTTTCTATGTCCCGCGAGGGTATCGTATTTAGGTGTACTGCACTTAAATCAAAAAAGGGGTGAGAGGTTTTTCGACCAACCAGAATGCAGCAAAACTAGAATTGTCAATAGAAATTTCAGTGCTATTTTACTGTATTTATTCATAGAGGTTGAGATTCTTAAGTAGGTACCACAAGGGGGGGAGATTGTTAAGTAGATCGCATAAATTAAATTAAGAATTTACTTTTTAGTGTGTACAAAACCTGCTTTTTAAAAAGTTATCAAAGATCAATTTATAATCAAGTTATCTGATTTTTTTTGGCATAAATACTGTTTCTTTTATGAAAGACTAGCTGTATAGCCATTTGTTGCCCAGTACCTAAAATTTGTAATTCAAATGATTTATTGTTCCGATTTTCGTACAGAAAGGAACGGAATACTTGTGCTCGCGGTGGGTTTTTTTCTTCAGACAAGTTTCGACTATTTAACTAGCCATTTTAGACAGTGTTTCTTATATTATTCAAAAGTTATTGCTTTCCTGAGCCTAAATTTTAAAAAAATATTTGACCTGTGATCATTTTTTGTAAAGTTTTGGGGGTTTAAAGATTGCCATTTTGACCAATTTGGGACAGTTAACGCGCGATAAAATTCGCGCTATTAACGCGTAAGCGGAGATTTAATCCTTCTTATAAATCGTTCCAAATGGTTGAACGAAGCTTATTTGCCATAATTGATTTGTTACAAGGAACGAAATTTATCTTTTTGTACTTTAAATGGCGTGCGGGGGGATAATTTTTATAAAAAATTTCAAATTTTAGAAAAAAAAATTTTTTTTTTAAATTTCATTTCATTTTTTTATGTTATAACTGCTGCTCCATAAACCTTAAAAAGCAGTCGGAGTACTTTTTGTACCAGCTTTTTGTAGCTCTTAGTACTTCATTATCGATTTCTTAGTGGTTGATTTCGATATCTTTTAGTGCAATACAAGGAGGTCAATATTTCAAAACTTTTTCCGCGAATAAAATTTTTTGACAAAAAAGTGCTTTTTATCAGAAATTTAGTCTCTAATTAAATTGAGAAGGAATTGTTTATTGGATGATTTCACCTCATATCGTCATTTCATTTGCAGAAAAAAGTTTCTAGGATGACTTTGGGTATGAAAATTTTAAACATTGAGTTTTTCCTTTGTGATTACTGTACAGCGTCTTTGAGCTTGTCTAACCCCCGCACCGAGCGCCCATGGATTCTAATTGATTATAATTGATTGAAGAGACAAAAATAATTGCTTATAATCTATAAAGGATGTAAAATGCAGTCCACGAAATTGATTTTATTGCCCTTATAATCGTTTATTTTTGAAAAAAAAAATCCATTATAATCAATTATAATCCATTTTTTGGCAAGGAATCGTTTTTTTTTGCCAAGATAATCCATTGTAACCGATTATAATCCATTTTATTTTTAGAACTAAATTCGATTTTTTTGTAGCATTTTGGGGGGGGGGGTGATAAACGAGGGGGGTGTCAGTCATTAAGCCCTCCCCAAAGTGTACCAACAAAAAATCCCCCATGTTCAACCATAATGGGGGGGGGGGGCGAATAATGGCGCTTGCGGTGAACTGGCAGGGAGGGAAGGGTAAACTAATGGGGTTGTAAACTGAGAAGAGCTGAAAAAGTAGTGACAAAAAATATCTAAACTTTAATGTGAGAAGTAACGTTTTATCAAACGTAATACGTAGCAAATGCACTAAACAGGAAATAAAATAACTTAAAAGTAAATTCTCAAACAAATCTGTTATAATATATTATAATTGATTATAATGTATTATATTGGCATCAGGATATATTATATTATATATTAGGAATTTAATCCATTTTTAGTGGATTATAATCGTTTATTTTGTAACTGTATTGACACTGACCAACTTATTACAATATAAACGATTATGTGTGCCAGTCGGTCATATTTGGAAGTTTGACCTTGAGAAAAGCAAAAAACACTTGATTTTGGAGTGAAATTTAATTTTTCAAAAATTCGAATGGAACCTGTCATGCACGATTTTCTCGCGATAACTGAAAATCAGAAAAGAGAGGTCAGAACAATTTCAGAACGATTGAGTCACACACGCGGGAAAGTTGTAAAAAAAAGCAGTAGGAAATTGCTATTCGCAATTTCCATCACTATCATAATCGAGAGTAGAGCTGTCCCATCTGTGACAGAGACGAGAGCATTCCCACGAATTGGATTATAGCGACTGGAGTGTTATTCGGAACTCGACTAGAGTGAACCTTCGGTGGAAAGGTGGACAACTTGAGTGTCCTAATGGTTCACAAGAAAACTATTGTCTAGAGTATAAACTCGTTCTCATTGTTAAAACTATAAAACATTAGACTCATTTAGTTACGTTATTTAATTCTTGAGTTAACTACCGACTGGATTATTTCCCACTTCTTGAGCGTGCTACTATGTGAGTACAAATTTAAATTCCTAGAGTGTGTTTTATAATTGTTATGTTGAGGTAAGGCGAGTTTTAGGTTGATCCATCTGAAATGGATCAAAGTTCCACTGTCTAATAAAAAAGCAACTTAACGGATTGTTCCAGCCCGGTTTTTAACGGCGTTCATGTATTTTGGGTATCTAGAGACCTAAGTATGGGGACGTTTCTAATTCTAGAGTGGGGGGATATTTTAGTAGTAGCCTTCAAGCTGTAACGGGTCGTAGTCTCATGTCACAAGCGAACCGAACTGGCTCCGACCGTTCTTGAGGTAGAAAAACACAAGAGATGGTGTCCCTGACCCTTGAGCCAGTGGTTATAGGGCCTATTTTTCTTAAGCCTCATGTGTGACTGCAGTGGACGAATGTTACATAGTGTTTTTATGGCGCTCCTGGGTGTTTACGACATCAAGACTACGGAGTCGAACCCACTTGAGACAGCTTCGGGCTGAATGCCCATTCTAGAGTACCGGCGGTACGGTTCGACAGGAACGTGCAAACCTTCCGGTTGTACCGTGATAGCTTTTTAAGAAAACTCGAGAAAATTTCCTGGTACGCTCTCCGAACGAGGCTTAGCTAACCGAGTAAAGGGGGGCAACTAGGGGGACAAAAACACGAGCAAAAAGACAAAAAGCAAAACAAAAAAAAAAACCAAAAAAGAATAGAAAAAGGAACAAAAACCATAAAACGAAAAAAGACAGTGACTTTGACACCAGATCAGTTGGATCAAACCTTTATATTAATTAAATAGTATACCCATACTGTTTTATAAGTTCGATCGTTTCGATCAACCTAGCAATTTAACCCAGTAACCGTAATAAAGTGCCCGAGTGTGGGGCGTTGTCAAGGGTTTTCAGATAGTTTGGAACTTAGCTGGACCAATAGGAGACTTGACTGGAAGAGGTGACCAGCCGAGTGGGAGGGTTGTTCAGGAGTACCTGAGCTGAACCAATAGGAGACTCGACTGGAAGAGGTGACCGCCCGAGTGGGAAACTGGTTCAGGAACACTTGAGCTGAACCAATAGGAGACTGGACTGGAACAGGTGACCAGTCGAGTGGGAAAGCAGCCAAGAAGGATTTGACAGTTCTCGAGTTCTCAAGTTGGGCAGAACGGGTATCGTTAGAATCCACATTACATTATAGGAGATAAGTGTAAAATTGGATAAGCGAAATCCCCCAGTTTTGAGGAACGTTTTTACTTGAGCAGGCCTGGAAACAGGTCTACGGTTTTCTCTTGAGAGGTTTAGCACCCGGCGCT